TGGCGGTATTAAATCCGTCGATTCATGTAATAAGTTCACTAGTTGTTTATTAAATCCTATATTTTGCAGTCGTTAAATGCATCATTATATATAAAAAGACAATACTCGTATTTATAAAGGTTTTTTAGGATAATGTTCAGTAGATAGTCAAATATATAATAACCTCTTTGCTTAATCAAATAATTTTCCTTCTAATTCTATGCTTTAATCCCTGTGTTTAATCCGTACAGATTTCATATAATTTCTGATGGAATTTCCTTTTAAAGATTTGATTGTTGTTTCAATCTCTTTTGAAAGTAAAAAAAATAGCGAAATAGAATTTTCTTTCAATATTATTTCTTGTTCATTTGAGTTACTTGAGTAAGACATTTTATCAACTTCTATGTGAAATAAACAATATTTAACATAAATAATTCCTCCAACATCTTCTGAACGCCAACAAAAATAAAGCAATCAATTCTTTGGCGTTTATTTATGATATAGTAATTTAAATATCAATTAAACTCATTACAGGTCGACCTTTAGTATGAAGTCCCCGTCGGAAACCACCTAATTTATTTACGACGTGTAAGCGTTTAAGAGAAATTGCATTAATATGAAATACCCGTTTGATACCGTATACGATGTTGCAATACACCGAGTGGTCGGTCGATGATATGAGAGCTTATATAATTTTATTCATCAAAACAAATCGGACTGTGCACACTAAAAGATAAGGTCAAATTTCGTATGGTGGTTACAGGAAAAAATATGACCTACTGTCTGCGTTGAAATGTATGAAATTGTGGGACATGAATTATGGATTGTCGATATCGCTTCAAGCTGTTGCTGTACTTTTTTTTTTGTGCTCCTCCGGCGTGATACCGCAACGAATTAAATTAAAAGCTCTTTTCACTTGTCATCCTTTGATGAATTTGGTATTTAAAGTTGCACGGACGCTGTGGGCAATATATATTTTATAACATCTCTCTTCTTCTTGCTGATATTTCAAATAATCCTTAGTTTAATCACTATGAAATAAACTTAAAAGAGGATTATTTTATTGTATTCTACACACATTTAGACAAGGGGCCATCGTCAATTTTGAACTTAACCATCAAGAGATTTAGTTTGAAAATGAATGGAAGAAATTTGACGATTTTCAGAGCTCGTTTTTTCAGGATTTATAGTTACTTTTGTCTCTGTTGTAAGCACTCGTTTTCTAAAGTAATTATGGAGTTTCTATTGTGAGTATTGTCTATGAATCAAGCTATTTATGTTTTACCCGAGGCGCCTTAATGATAATAACTTGGCTATAAAAATTCATTTCTTAAGCACTATTAATCAATATGGCGTCAGCGTAAAACTAATGGAAACACACAAAGTAATTTATTGTAACATTGCATTGCCAAATGTTGGCAGTTGGCAATTCAATCAATAACCTCAAAAGCATGCCGAGTACAAATTATCATCAACTCAAAGTTCAAAACAAATTTGGACAACATCTTGAAAACCAAAATTGTAAAACAAATAATTATATGTGGTAATGTAAATGTCACTAACAAATAAAATTTTACTCGATATAAAACCTCGGGCACACTGCACGATTGAGCAAATACAACTTTAACTGAGCGCTTTTCGTTACGTACCATTTAAGTGTGCAAGTAGTGCTATCGTGCCACTAATCAGTACAAATGCGATTCTAGATAGTGGCACAGAGCATGTTCAATATTTTAGCACGCACTCCATCCAGATAAATGTAGCCCGACCTTTAGTTCTGAACAGATTACTCATCGGCGATTGTCGAGTGTGAATGCTGTGTAAGTAAAAATATAATACTGCATCTAAGAGTGGTTGAAGTTGAGAAGTTACTGAACTGGTTATAACAAATATGTATTGAGTTGGATTCGGTAAATGACTTTGAGGGACCTTTTTGAGGAACTTGAATGTAAACAAAAAATCTTTTAGGTTACATCTACTATATTGATCGACACGGACATAACAAGTTCGATGTGTTTCAAAATACAGTGCCGATTTAATTTTAGTCTATTATATCTTTCATATTCGCTATCGCTGGACTATCAATTATTTTGGAAATATAAAACATTGAAATTCTTTACAAAAGAGGTATCTAAATTGTATCTATATTAAATTATTTGCCTAGGTGAAAGCTAGAGAATATACATACCCAATACCTAAAGTTTACATCACTTTGCCCTGCGCTTTCCAATGTATACAATTCTAGTTGAATGTGAATTCCAATTGTAACAAAAAAGGCAATGAAAATGTTTTCAATTTTGCTAAACTGTAAACAAAACACATACGAACATTATTACAAAACGGTGGCGATAACGGCGCGCGTGTCCGCAGCGTCACCGTGAAAGTAAGCCGGCCCGATTTTGTAGCCCTCCCACCACCCCTCGTTATGATTTATAGCTGCCCGCCGACACATGCAGCGCTGCGCCTAACGCTCCTAAAGCTGCGATTTTGTTTCAATAGACACACGAGCGTATGAAACGCGACGTTTTTATATTTTACGCTTGTGTGTCTTAGTCTTTATATCAAAAAAATAGTGTTGTTAGACATGTGTATTAATATGCAGTAGTCCAAGGTACTGTTGAATAATGCTCGAATAAGTTATATATCATAACTTATAGTTATTATTACTAGAAAAACACTATATTAATGATGAATTGCTGATATCTGAAACAAGCCAAATATTTATTATCGTAACGCATGTATTTGTATATTAACGTAAATTAAACTTGTCAAAGACATAAAATGAAAAGTAACGAATAGAGCTGGTGAAAAGCAATAACACATAAGAGACATTCATAATGAACCTACAGTAACGCATTTATATCTGACCCAAAAACATTTAATAGGAATACCTAGCGCCTAAGACATATTAGACGCCGCGTCTGAACGTTACCCTCCTTAATGTTCTTATTACGTACGTTTAAATCTGAAGGCTGGATCATGTTTTATGCATCTGACTGTGCGATGAAACCGCTTGGGTATAAACACTAGTGTAATAAAGACTAGAAAGAAATAGTATAAGGTGACTGGACAAGTTTTTGAGAATAAAGATACGTATATTATGTTTTAGTATAAGAGTAGCACCATTCATACTTAATAAGAGGTCCCTCAAGGGTCAGTTTTGAGACCTATTTTATTTATATTTTAATATGAGTATTTGATTTCCATCATCATTTGTTATGATTCCACATTTACGATGATCAGATCTTCTCTATGAATGGAGTCAAATAAGAAGAATAGGCCATAACCACTGGGCTTACCAATGGCTAAACGGCACGTTAAAGAAACCCCAGTAAATAAATTATTGGTCACATCCTATGACCGGCACTAACGAAAGTTGCTTAATTTCCGCATTGCCTACCTAACGCCCTAATCACTGGGCTATTAAGCTTCTCTAATCAAAGTATTTGATTATTCCAAAATATTCATTGAACTTTGAATATGCATTCTGGAATGCTTCCCAAAACTGAACATAGGGCGATGAGGCTGTTATCAATTTCTCGTGCAACAAGTGGCCTATAATTCTGAATCGTTGCAACGGCTGTGGCATCTGTTTACAAGTCTTAAATTTTGTATTTCACAAAAAATACTAAGGAAAAGAATTTATCCTTGTCACTCAATGAGTGTTTACTAATATCGTTGCATTCAGTGACTCATTTATCAAGCCATAAGCAGCACAGCTAAGATCAGTTTGTCATCGAGCGCTTTTAGTTTTTTATTAGTGCCTTTATGAATATTGTCTTTCGGAGAAACGGTGGTAAGAACAGTGCCATTCGCAATGTAATCCTCTTCGTGTTAGTATTTCTTCGAAGTTTGCGTGTTTATCTTGTACGGCAAGTCGTTTTGCGTGTTACAGTTGAAAATAATCAACTAACTTTGGCTTTGTTGTTGGTAAACTTCGTTTTCAACTGTTTTGTTTCTGTTATGCTTAAAATTATTTCCGTGTAATTTATGACATTTTTGTTTTCATTGTTGAGTTTTTTTTTGATTAATAAACAAAACAAATGATTATATATCTAATTTAAGATATAAATATTGGAATTCCCATCGCCATTTTAAACTTTAAAATAGATATACTTTAATCAAACTGCATTTATTAATAAACAGACGTCCTACCGATTAATTCTCCTAAGCCAAGTAGGTATAAGACGAGCAGTTTCATCTCCAGATTTGTACTTTTTTTTTTCAATTCAGACAAATTACAGTTCAGAGCGTCTTCTAAACCGTGTATAATAGGTTTCGTATCTCCTCCGAAGAATAATGATTACAAAATGAAAAAGCCCTCTGGCGTTTTAAATTATTTTAATTGGCTTCGGTAGCTCTGCGGATCGCATGTTCCACGTACAAACACACTCAAGAACACGTTTTATGACATATCCTCATATTATTGCATACTATAATTCATTGTCAGAATCTTTGGGATAATCATAACAATTTGCTTGTCACTTTCCAGTGCATTGTGGTAATAAAATACTACTATTGTTAGTTTTTGCATTTTTGAATTCTATTCACAATTACTCATTTTATATTTCTTAGTAAGAGTTCATCAGTTATTACTATAATTGATAATATTATGGCTTCTTAGCTACCGAATAATTTTAGTGACAGTAACTTAAGAGCCAATTAATATAATAAGAGAAACATGAACATTCAAAATGTTTATTTGATTCGGCAAATGTTTTTAATTAATCTGAATAATGTATAATTATGTGGCTTTACTCTGGTAGTACGGTTTCCATAAACTTTGTTACTACCGACAGTCGAGAGAAATACGCTACAAGCAAAAACAATTAACAAATTGATAAGCTCAAAACAATTTTCAATTAACTCCGGCGGAGTGTTCGCCGTTTACAAATAACCACCATTTATCAGAAATGCCTATGCAGTTTTAAACGTTTGGCCGTTGGTAGGGCTGCGAAATTAAAAAGTTTCCTGTTGCCATTCCCGAAAGGTTACTCACTTTTGGTTTTATGTTATTTCAGAGAGGAAGCGCGGAAGGCAGACATACACCCGGTACCAGACTCTGGAACTAGAGAAGGAGTTCCATTTCAACCGATACCTGACGCGAAGGAGACGGATCGAGATTGCGCACGCGCTGTGCCTCACCGAAAGACAGATAAAGATCTGGTTCCAGAACCGCCGCATGAAGTGGAAGAAAGAGAACAAAACCAAAGGCGAGCCAGGCTCTGGTGACGAGCCGGACAACATGAGCCCGCCCACCTCGCCGCAGTAGAGCTCTCTGTCCACCGAGTATGGACTGTTTCAGATTGAATCCAAAAAGGGAATTAGTTTTCCGTGTCCATTTATGTTTTGATCGTTGACGTTTCTTTCAACAAAAGTTACGGTGAATCTGAAAGCAACGATCCAACGAGCGGAGTTACTAGAACAGTTTAATTTGTATAAATTGTATGTTGGACTTTTCATGATAATATTACATTATAACTAAATACGTAACCTAGTGATTACGATAAAAGTAATGATAGTGTGATGATGAGATTTTTACAGTTGTTAAGTATAAATTAATTTATAGAACAATCTCAATACCAATAATTACCAAAAACGCAGTGTATAATGATTAGTAAACTGCAACGAGATCTTGTGATTATTATAGATGAACAATATCGTTTCCGGATTTTAGTTTCTTTTTGTTTTGGAAAATTGGTCTTAGTTTGTATTATGTTTTCGTACGAAGTGTTTGAAGAAATCTCGATTAATTTATATAGTTTTATATTGACATGATCTTCATTATTAGTTAAGTGATAAATTTCTTCATCTGTAATACAGCTATTCTCTTTATTATATTACTTTGAAACACTTTGTGCGAGAATATATAAAAATTAATATTTTTTTTACTTATTATTTTGAACTACAAAACCATAAGGACCTCTTATAATTAACCATTGATAAGAAGGCGATTAGTATCCATATTGTTATTATTTAATATATTTGATGTTTTATTTCTAATTAAGCTATCGAAATACTATTCTGTACATACTACATAATTTTAGAATTTGTAATGTACAATTGTTTTAGTGTGAATAATTATATTGAGATTACTTTGTGGAACAACGATATTTCCGCGTTCACATTTTGATTTAACGAGTATTTATTTGTGAATCTTATCTCGGTTTTACTGTATTTTCTTTTTTGTTTTACATTATTTGTAGTATTGGAAAGGCCAGTTATACAAGTGCAATGTATACGAATTTTCGATGACACATATATACGTAATTGATAACTGATAAATAAACGTCATAGGAAATCTAATTATTATTAAAAGTAAAATGTTACGAGAAGCCTATAATTTAGAATGTGGTTAACGAAATTTTTCAATTATACTTTGATAAAAGAAAATCTATTTCACGAAATGAATGTTGTGCCATTCAATGGGATGAAAAATTTAAAAGACAGCTTTGGAAATAGGGAACGGGGTATGTTGATTCACTCGTACATAATGTTATAGTAATTAAAACAAGGTTACCTTCAAAGTTAGATGGAGAAATAAATAGTTGTTACTTTTTATTAGAGTCCTAAACGGATAGAACAGAGTGTACTTGTAAAATATTAAAACTTGATGCATTGTTAAATTATTATTATATTTAAAGACAGTTTCGATTACGATACTACCATAATATTGTTTGAATTTGGGTAGTTACACCATAGTAAAGAGAAATTTCGTCAAATATCATTGTCAATCTGAAATTACTCTGTAGAAACACAGTCAGGTTGTTCTGGATTTTATCACGCCATATTCTATTCTATGGCATTAAATAAATACGTGATTTACGAGGCAACTTTTCATGATCTGTCGAATATAGATTTTAAGACTGTTTTAGAGTACGTCCCTAGAGCTTTGAAACAAGTTTTTTTCTAGATGTGATTTGCATGAAGTTTTATAATTTTTCATACACTCTCTTATGAGGACAAAGTACACAGTATACCAAAGCTAGTGAATAAACTGCTGGTTTTCGATGTTTTGATAATAGTCAAACCAAGATGTGAGAACTGCAATGTCAGTGCTACATACACATCATTTATAAAACGGTATTTTTATAAAAAAAATAATAATTGCCTATTGAAAACAATATACGTAAAAGAGATATCGTGCATTGAATTATATTTACTCGTAATACGAATAGTTTTACGAATATTAAAAATTATAAAAAAAAATTGATGAGTGAAATTGAGAGGTTGGTGATGTGACGTCAGGATTCACGCTTTACGTTATTTCGTAATAATGTAAACTATTTGTAAATTATTTTTTCAAATAGATCGTAAACTAGTGGAGAAGATTTTCTGTTTTATTTTGTTTTCTAAGAACTGCAATGAGCCGGTTTCATTTTTTTTATATACATATATAGGTAATATAAATATTATAATTTCCTTTTTATTTTTAATTTTGTGCTGTGTTCGTTAAGTAACTGTAAATTGTAATAATTGTATATTATCGGTAATATTCAATATTTATTTATTGATTCGCTTAATTAGGTTCGTTTACGTGTATTACATTTGTTTCGGGATGAGTTGAACCTTGTATTCGGATGCTGTCTGGCTGGGATAAGATATATTATTTAATTTATTTATGCCTAGCACGTTTTGCTCAAATATTTTATGATTGGGTTGTAGATTTTTTTTTAGTTATATATGTACAAATATTTCACCTTATTGTAAAACATCTCGATAACGATTACTTATGCTTATGTATTTAATTGAATTCTAATGTATTAATAGTTATTTTTAATTGATTTCAAGTGCAATTTCTGTTGTGATCAGGCATCATAACAACGATCCCTTGCCAGATGGGAACATTTATATGGACAAAATAAAAATAAAAAATCAAGTTAGGCAATTACAAAAAGTTTGTAATTTAAGTTTTCGAATGTTTACCTGAAATTCTTCGAATTTTTCAAATTTAGAACACGTAGAGAAGTGGGAACCTAATTTGAAATGTTTCATTTACCACTTTATGTGCTATTGATTCAAAATTTATGAAATATAACTATAATTAGTAACTTAATAAGATTAGGCGAGACGGTATTGTCATAAATATATAAATACATGAAATTAATAAAGCATAATGATTGTATTTAGAGATTTTTTTATTATTTCTACCTTTGTGTATTCTACCTAAAGACATAACTTTTTTTTCCAAATAGGCACTTGCTGGATGTTTGTTTGATAAATTAATTGAAGGTAGATAATTATAATCAACTTCAATTAGGTATTAATGACAATTAGTAATGGTATACCATGATACAGAAAATAGTAAGAAATGAGAATTAAAAACAATATAAATAATTAGAAGGCAAGTCTTAAAGTTATACAGATAGAAAGATTTATTATCATAATTTTGAGACTACCTGTGGTTGAACCACGTAACTGAATCCCGTATTGATCTGTCAAAATGACGCCATGATTGATATTTCAAGCTGTCATATCAACTGATAGCAGATCAATCAGGTCTTTCTGGCTGACAAATTCAGATTCAAAGCTTCACTTCGAGGCACACAGATCAATTCAGTTACGTAATAAAGCTGCTGTTTATAGATAACTGCCACCTACCTGTATATCAAATAAAGGAGTAGTAATTGACATACTAGCACTGGAAGTAATAACATCATATAAAACCTACTTTATTATTTTTTATTTTTTTATTATAAAGCAACCACGGTGAAAATGTTTGCGTGCATGTTAAAAAGTATTGTTATCTTTGTTTGTAACATGGGTTACTTGAGGTACAGCAAGATTAGCAAGAGACTTAGCATACATAATCAAAAGCTGTATAGTACGTTATTTATCTGAAAAAAATATTATTGTAAAGAAATAGCAATGCATTATTACATTGAGTCGCCAAATGTAAGTGTGTAAAAAAACTAGACTATTTTAATTGGCGATCATGAACTTGTTATATTCTAAAATGTTCCATTATATTTTTGAAATTGATACCAACGTATCCAGATTGTGAAACAAAGCGACTGTTCTATAAATAACGCCGAGTCGTCCAGTCCAGTAATCCATATCTTTCCCTCGGTGAAATAAGGCATTCCGTTTTCAAGACAGCATCATTATAATACATTCAGGCTAACGACGAAATAATGATTTCGCGTGATATAGGCGCGGTTCCGCCGGTGTCAGTCACGGCCCATTGGTGGGTCGCAAACAAATCTCGAAAATTACTCCAACCTGTTTGGGTATACATACTTTTTTCTCGACACGATATTTCTAGGTGTGGCCAACACTAATGTCTTTTTAATAATCCCCGCCGAAAGCTACGAAGCCGAAACCGGCCTTGGGTGAAGCTAATGTGATTTTGACAAGTTCGAAATTGGCGCAATTATGCTTTTGCGGCATTTTAAATGGCCAATGATATTAGATAGCTCAGGAAGTTGTTTGTCTATTTTGTGATGTTGCAAAGATATCGAATATGGAAGGAGACTATTCTGGATAATGCTGTACAAATTACCAGTTATTAAGATAGACGATGAACTTTTATTTTAATATATGTATCAATTAATATGCAATTGGAATACTTTTTTTAATTAGTGAAATATTACTATATGCAAATTGTATAATAAATTATCGCGAGGCTTTAAAAAGAATGTAATTTCATCAACATGCAAAATATTTGTATGCAATTTAGATAGAGTTTTGAATACATCACAATTTTTTTTAAATCTTTAAAAATGTATAGGTATACTACGTCTGTCTCAATTTGCAAATGGTTATGGGTAAATTATAAATGATCATGTCCTGTTTTTTAATATTTATTTTTAAACTACAGACGTCACGTTTTTCTCTTCTATTTATAACGAATCACAGTCAACGGATACAAACAATCCAATTTCTCGAGACACCGATATGTTGTGACCTATCGTGATATGTTGGATATTATGAAGATAGCGGGTCAAAATAACCTGGTCACTCACTGTTCAGAGTGTCGAATGATAAGTGTTATTTATTACACATCCAATGTGCCATTGCACTCTATACAAATTGAGTTCACGGTCAAATTCACTGCCATATAACAATAAGTTACTTACTTATTTTAAAAGCGCTTATAATATATTTTTATATCTTATTTGTTTCGCGAAAATTCAGCTAGTGAATTAAAAAAAAAGAAAAAAGGCACATAAATCGCTATACTCTTATGCTTAGAACGATTAGTAAAACAACATAAGCATGAGCATAAAAAAGAAACACTTATTTCCAAACATATTAACGCCATCTATTGGTGAATCGATTAAATATTTATTGGAAATGAATAGTCATCCTAAATAGTAAAATCTGGTGATGACAATAAATAGCATCGATTCACGATCGATAATATTGAAAGTTATGATTTTTGATAGAAGTAAAAAATACTTTATTCTTATTAGAATGACATAAAGTTCACTTGTTGGGAAAATTTTTAATAGAAAATAAGAAAGCTATTTACCCTAAATGAAGCCTACAGAAAATAATTTTACTACTGAGTGCCACTTACAATAATATCTAAGTACTTATTTAAAGTTTTGGCAGGTAATACAGTATAATAAATTTCAATATAAGTAGTACACATTAATAATATTAATAATAACACATTAATAATAGGTATTTTTATTAAAAATTATAAAAACGAACAATTTAGTACTCTTATTAATAGTTCTAAATAATTATCAATATTTATAGAAGCAAAATAAAAAAAACATTTAAAAATAAATAAAACTAAAGCACCTAAATAAATTACAAAAACCTACACAGGATTTCTTACCTACTGAATTTCTAATTGTTAAAATGATAAATGTCATAATAATTATTTTTATTAATAAAATAAGCTATCTCGTTACAGAGCTTTTTCTCGAAGTATAAAGCTATAAACAAAAAAAAGCAGTTTCTTTCTTGTTATAATAAACTTCAAACATTGTACCAAAAATCGTCTTCTATATAAAGATAAAGACATTAATCACAGGCAATATTTCATTTGCGTCCTTGCCTTATAACGTTCAATTTTATTGACTGCAATAAACTAAAGCAATGGTTAAATCAACGCCGCTGTATCGATGTAAACACCTCGTAAATATCACCTGTCTCTGTTGCACTTACGGGATAAACACACCTTTAGATAAGGAGGGATGCGACGTCTCTTCATTTGGCTCTTACTGAAAATAGTTTATGAGATGTGGAAGAATGAAGTGTGAATATTAAAATCCGACTTTATTTTGTACGTTATAAGTTACATTTTGTAGTGTTGTTTTATCCTTTATATCTTTTAAATGGTCCTTAAATCGCAATAACGATTTGTTTATAGGTCTCGTGTTAGCGGCGAGGTTTTGTGGGAGATGTTTTAATTTATTAAGTCTATTATGATTTTATTGGCTGTTAATATATAATATGAGTGAAATGACTTCTGTCACCATAATATTACTTGGTTGATTTATTTTAATTAACATCTCAAATAGGTAACTAGACAAGTGTTGCTTTGACAACTTTGAATCGATAACTATGGCTTGCTGTATTCACTAATTTACCAAGACATTTTATGTATTATTTTTGCACTAATGGTTTCTCAAGACATTTCACAGTTTATTCCTACTATAATATTGTTTCTTGTCTATAACAAATTTAAAAAAATATATATTAATTGATTTTTCAAACAAAAAAATCTAAATGTTTATATGTATTAGTTAAAATGCAAATGCCATGCATTCACAATTAAAAAAATATATATATTTATTCGTCACGACCTTTCGAATTTCAAATTTTGGCGCGCTACCTTCAGCCATTTTGTTTAGGGCGTCGCTGTAGATCGCCCCGCCCCCCTCTCTGGCCCCTCCCTTTGACAGCCACTCGGACGCAGCCCAACTCATTTATTATAGCGTACAGTCTGCTAAACAAGTTTCTACCTGGCAATAGAGGCCATTTTATTGACCGTAAGGCGACAAAATGCAATTCGCTCATATTTGATTTTGATATATAGTATTTAAATTATGTCTAAGTATTTAGTAATTTAAATTATTAGATTGAAAATGAGATATTTTTGTTTTTAAATAATAACGAAAGATATACGTGAACGAAAGCAGCAACAGTAAAAAAAACCTTATTAAAAATAATACATTCAAATGCTACATTGATATTTATCTTTATGAAAATGATTAAAAACATTCACC